TAATAATTGAATTCTGAAAAATGACACTACTTATAAAGTCATATTTATGATTTTATAATGGGTAATAGTGGAAATTATGATTTAAATTATTTATTAAATTACCCGTGCTTCGTACGGGATTGAACTATTTTATTAAACTTCCATGTGATTATTCGGCAATATCTGTATTTTCGATACATACATTACATTGTCAAGAACATTTATCTTAAGACAAAGTGTTCCTCAAAAATCTTAAAGTGCTATATTTTTATTAATTTTAAGTTTTGTTGTACAAAAATTACGAGTCATAGAGAGATTTTAAGTATAAGAAAGAAGTCTAAGAAAATCTCCATGGAAATAGTTGGTCCGAAGTAATGAAATTTTCTAAATTCCAGAAAGTCATAAAGAACAACACCAGTCGTTAAATAAGAGACCAAAAAGTCTCGAACATCAACACTCTTAAGTAAAGTGGTACATCACATCCATACAAGAACATAATTAACTAAATTAAAATGGAGGACCTTTGGCTCTTCTCTTATGAACCTCCATCAATCTCTTTTTTATTATAGTATGTCGTGTCATGTATATGTCAAAAATGATCCTAAAATTGTTAATGGTGGTAACTTTTGAATTGTTTATTTCTTTGCTTAATGGGAATAATTCTTATTTGTTGATTGTATTAATTCAACCTTGCTGCAAATATTGATCTAAATCCTTGTTTCACTTCCTTTATTTATGATAATTGATTTCATACTGATTGGTACTCTTAATTGATGCCTGTTTGTTTGCTATGATAAATTTGCGAAGAAAATTAGTCTCTGAATCGGTATTTTATTCTCTCCCTTAATTAATCTGAGGGTTGATTCTCATCCAAAATTAGAAGCAACTTGTATGCTTAAATCAATTAGAGCATAAATAGTTCTATTGATTGATATGTTATGCTGATTATTGGAATCGGTATGTGATTGCATTTGGTAATTGTCATCCGCATAATTGTATTTCCTTAGTTGTTTGTAATAGTTGAGATCTTATAGCTTACTTACAGATTAATTTAATTAATTGAATTTCATGATTTTGAAAGTGGCATATGGTAAGTCTTAAATTAATTAATAAAGCGTGTATTACTTTCCTTGTAAACTTTCAGTGCTGCCCTTATATATTATTTAGTAGTGTTGTAAATTGATCACCCTTCCCTTAATTATAGTTGGACTGATTCTTGCGTGATTTTGATGGAAATTTTGCTGATTTGGTGAAAAGAATAATCTCCATGCTTTAATTATGTTATTCAGATTCCTACTCCTTATTTGTGGTATGTTAATTATGACTGATTCAATTTTCTTGTTAAGGAAATAAATCTCCCTCAATTGCTCCTTATTGAATATTCTTACCTCGTTGTGTCTTCTCCCCACTAGATAAAGAGACAGATAGTTCATTATTTGGACACGTATTTACCACTTCACTAATCCAAACACTAAAAAAAGGTATTCTCCATTCATAAAAAAGAGTCTCCTGCAACATTCAAAAAAAAGAGTCTCCTGCAACATTCAAAAAAAAAGAGTCTCCTGCAACATTCAAGGTGCTTTCTTTGCTGTGTTGCTGTTTCGGTTGGATTGCTGCTAATACTTCATTGCTGAAATATATTCTGCTTAATTGGTTAGTTCTCTTCATTAAGTTTGGTGTTTATTTACCGTTGTTGATTATTGATATGATTTAGCAAATTAGGATGTAAATGGGTTGATTTGCTTAATCATATTGACAAATGATTAATTCAAGCATCTTTCCTTTAATAATTTTTTTCGCTCACTAATAGACTTCTAATTTCATATTGACTTGTTGATTGCCATTAATTGATTCCTTTTCCTTTTCTAGCCTTAGTTAGAATTTGCTAGACACTCACTTGTTTTGTTAAAATTAGTAGAAATCTGTTCATAAAAATGTGTATTGATATTGGGTGTTTAGAAAGAGACGTGATGACTCTTATTGTCTCTTTTTCTTTCTTACTTTTGTGCGTTGGTTATATTTCTTTTGAGTCGAATGTCTATTGAAAACAACTTATCTATCCTACAAGGGTCGATGTAAGGTCTTTCTACATTCTATCCCCCATATTCCATTTGGGGAATTACACTTGAATATGTTGTTGTATATCATGATATCATAAAGTATGAAATCAATTTTTTCTTTCTTTTAGACAGGTTGTGGAAGGGGGAAATCAAGACTAATGGCTAGTGAAATGCTTTTGCAATGATATTTTGAGAAGAAACCTCTATTTTACTGCCTCGGTTTTGTTAATATTTAGTATATCTTAGTTAGACTTTCAAGTTGGATAACTTTTACTTAGTATATTTTTCCTTCAGTGGAATGTTGAGATATTATCTCATGAATGTTATTTTAGATGTTCTTAAATAATATATGACAGTGTAATTTTTTTTATTATTATCTTGCTTCTTTTAGTATGTTGTTAATTTTAATTTGTATAGTGTATGATGCTCATTATTAAAAAAACTACTCCATGCTATTAAGTTTAATATATTTGTATTATTTAATAATTTTAATTTTTTAAATAAATTTTTAAATTTATGGAGACCTAGTTCAATACAAATTGTAAATAGTATTGCTACAAGTTTAAATGTCATTAGTGACGAAACATTTTATCTTCAAAAGCTCAATTATTAGTGACGAATACATTATTTTTTTAAGAGGCTAACATTTTCGTCATTAAAGTATGTTATTTTGTGACAAAATATTTTTTGTCTCAAAAATTGTGTACTTATTTATGATATTTTTTAGTGACAATTTTATTTTGTTGGTAAAAGAATTATTTTTAGTGACGACATGATATTTTCAACTACAAAATTATTTAATTATAAAGTTGTCACTAATTTTTACCTTTAGGGACAAAGAAAAAATTGTATGTAAAAAGTAGTTTTTAGTGACGAAATATTATTTGCAAGACTACGAAATACATAAAATATTAGTGACAAATTGCATCGTCACAAATTAAATTAAATAGTTAGTGACACATCATTTTCGTCGGCTATAAAAACCTATTTAGTGACAAAAATATATCTTTACCTACAAATTTTAATAATTTTTATGACGAACAATTTTGTCATAAATATGAAGCATTTTGGGACAGAAAATATTTTCGTAGTTAATACATTTCTATTTATTGACGAAACACTAAATTGTCTCTGTATATATTTAGTGACCTATGCTTTAGGGACGAATGACTGACGAATTTTTTTCCGTCACAGAATTATTTTTGACGAATTATATAATGTAATTTGTATATTATAATTTGAATAACTGTTTAAAGTTCATATGTTTATGTTTGTATCAAGTCGCTATTTCAAGTTTTATCATATTTGTATAATTCCAGGCTTTGTATTACTCAAATATACAAAAACAAACGAATTATACAAACGAGATGCAAATTATACAAATTATTGCCCCTATTTAGTGACAAAAATATATCCTCTCCCAATCTCGCTTGCCTCTCTCCTCCCTCTCCCAATCTCGCTCGCCAAATATATGAATACATATGTATACCAGTTACATATATACAATTATCTAACCGATATACATATACAATTGGTCTGTCTCCCACTCTCTGCCTTTCTTGCTCGCCTCTCTCCTTCCTCTCCCAATCTCGCTCGCCACTCTCCTCCCTATAACATGTAGCTAAAAATCGTAATTAGCAAATTATAGTTATGGAGTGTAATTAAGCTATTTTGAGTGACTATATGCGAAAGTTCACCTTATTTATAACTCAGTTTTAAAATAGTAGTACATTCAAATATAAATATTATTCCACATATTATATAAAAAAATATAATCAATTGTTTTAAAAATATAATAATTAGGAATCTCATAGTGTAAGGAGCAAATTACATCCTATACGTACACGTTTCCCATATTCAAAAATCCCTTCTATTTATTGATAGACTTTTAACCCTTTCCGAATCGCTACTTGATTAAATACGTATTTTAAAACCTATTTCATATAACGTGTTAAAAAATATTTATTTTTTTGTCCAAATAATTGGATATTTTAGTATTCATAATTTACAAAATTATTAAAATTATTGTTTTATCAAATTAATATTATTACTTTTATTATATTTATCGGTTGTTAAACATAAAATAATTATTTTACTCATTTATTCAAATATTTACAATATTTAAGTGTGCTTATTTTATATAATTTTTGGTTAATAAATATTGTATTCTATTTAATTAAGTGACAATTCGTAATCTTTCCTTAAATAATTTAAATCGTAGTCCCTTCTATTCAAATTATTTAATTCATAGCCCTTTTACTATTCAATTTCATTTCAATTCCAATCACTTTAATTCAATTGTTGTTTCAATTATAGCCTCTTCAATTCACTGTTTTTCGATTATTGCTAATCTGATTCAAGTCACAAAGAGCCTCCTATCTTATCGTCCATCTGTTACCTTGATCAAGCTCAAGATCTAATCGTGCCCGTTCATTTCATTCAAATCAACGGTCCAAATTCATTAATCCATACCTTCATATTTTAACCCCTAAAAGACCCAACTCTAATTCATTCTCCTCTTTGTCACGAGAACAGTGCCGCAGACCCCTTGGGTCGTTTTCTATTTCCGGCGAAATCGCCACCTCCTCCATCTTCGTCCAGCAGGCTCCTGAGAAACCCCGTGCCGCCTGCTCGCCGCCTCTTCTTGAAACCCCGAGCCCCTCTTCTTCCCCTCCATTCTCTCTTCTCCAGCGAAGATGGAAGCAAGCGAGGACCAAGTGAGCTCCTCATCTCCTTTGCTCCGGCGAGAACAGCCCCGAGCCACCAGCGAGACCCTTCTCCTCTCTTTTGCTTCGGCAAGAGCAGCCAACAGTCGCTGGCAAATTGGACCAACAACCATCATCAACCGGAGCGCTGCTCTGACCAGCAAGCCCTAGCGTCGTTCCTCACATTTTACGGTGAGGACGGCAAAGACGAGCACCAATAGAGTCTGGTCAACACACGGTTTGAGATTTCGAGACACAATAGAGTCTGGTCAACACACAGTTTGAGATTTCGAGACGGATCTTAACAGATTCGTGGGTTAGTTTCTTTAATAGTTATCTCATTTCTCAAATGGCCGTTTGCTTTCCGATTAGAAGTCTTATTGCATGTTTAGATTGTTAAAGTCAGGTAATTTGTGAATCTCGTCTTAAGCATGAACTGTTGTGATTTATGATAGCCTAAATTTGTTCATTCGCTCTAGCATTTTGCAATAGCACCACTTTGATTCAATCACAAATAGAGCTACTGATTTTTGAGTGTATTTGAGTAAGATTTGATATGTCAATGGATTGCTTTGCTTAATTTAATTGATCATTCTTTGTGGTTACTTTTGCCTTAATTTATTTGAACCACAAATTGTCCATTTATGTTGCTACTTGATTTGAACTGATTTTACTTCTTTCTTTGAATTTATTTGCTTCGCCTGATTCTCTACAATATTATTATATATTGACCTATATTAATTTATTTCCTTACCTTAACTGAATTTTGTCAGATGTTGGTGTTTCTGGTTATGGTAAATTGCCACAATTTTGATATTTTATTGAAGTGAAAGTTTAAAAGATCAAAGCTTTCATTTATGTTAAACTTTAACCATATTGCTCCTAATTGTAATCTTGAAAACTCTATTGGCACGTCAAGATGATATTTTGAAACAGTTCAGCAGTTTATGAGCTCATCCAGATCAAGGTTAGCCATAGTATACTTTAAACTATAATAATTTCATTATAGCTTGTTTAATTAAATAGAAATAGTTTGTAGCATTTAACACCTAATATATAACTATGTTTCATTTTCATGATACAGTGATCAATGAACCTTATCAAGTTATCCCTTCAGGTACAATAATAACTACATTGCTTTGTTCTCGTTAATTTAATTTAGATCTTCTGCTATTTATTTAGCCTGTTAGAGTAGAGGTTGGATGTAAATCACCAAAAAACGAATTGTCGAACCAAACCTATGTTCTACGCATGAGAGATTTCAATTGTGTTTGTTTGCTCTGTTTTCATATTAATTTTCCTCTTCTTGAACATGTAATTTGTTGTTTACTGTTAGTTCAATTTATGTACTGTTAGCTTTCTTGTTCAAGAATAATTGTGGAATCATCTGTTAGTTGAATTGTGTTCTGTTAGCTTTCCTCTTCAATTGTGTTTGTTTTCTCTGTTTTCATATTAGCTTTCCTCTTCCTGAACATGTAATTTGTTGTTTACTGTTAGTTCAATTCATGAGTACTGTTAGCTTTCTTGTTCTAGAATAATTGTGTTTCAATTGTGTTCTGTTGGCTTTCCCCTTCCAGAAAAAACATTATGTATGTACTCTTGAATCTAATTTGCACGGAAAGTGTATGAGTGTTCATATTCCCTCAATTACACATTTAAAATTCAACACAGGTTGTATGAGTGATCTAATTGTATATATATGTTTCTTTGATGCTTAAATTACCCAATATATGAAATAAAATCTTAAATTTTTGTTTACACAGGTTGTATAAGATGGAAATCAGGACTAACTATTAAAGAAGTGCTTTTGCAATGATATTTTGAGAAGCAACCTCAATTTTATTACTTCGTTTCTTTTTAATGTTTAGTATATCTAAATTACATTTTTCAAGTTGGACCAAATTTTGTTGATGTTAATTTTTCTTTAAGGCGTATGTAATGAGATATCATCTCATGAATGTTATTTTGGTCTTTCCTAGTTAATTTATGACGGTGTTTTAAAAAGATTTTTTTTATTGTTATCTTACTTCTTTTAGTATGTTGTTAGCTAGTTTTAGTTTGTATAAATGCTCTTTCCATTGAAGTTACGTATATATAATTTATATATGATTTGATAATTTTAAAATTAACAGAAACCTAAATAACTAAATCAAATCGTAAATACTATAGCTACAAATTAAAATGTCATCAAATATTTGTTATTAGTGACAAAACATTTTGTCTATAAAAGATTAACTTTTAGCGATGATTTTCTTATACTTTTTAAGACGATCACATTTTCTTCATAGAAGTATGACATTTGGTAACAAAGAATAAAATTTGTCCCAAAATGGCCTACTTATTACCTACAAATTATCTTTGTATTTTATGACAATTGTGATCGTCGCTAACTATGACATTTTCTAGTGACAAATTTATTTCGTTGGTAAAAGTAGTTTTTTAGTGATGATGTGATAATTTTTAGCTACAAAATGGCAAGAAAGTAGCGTTGTCACTAATTCACTTTAGTGACAAAAAGATAATGCGTATGTGAAAGGTAGTTTTTAGTGACGAAATAATATTTTGTTCAATGACAAAATAGATAGATGATTGGAGACAAAACAAATCATCACTAATTCAAATAAATAGTTAGTGACGCCATCATTCACGTCACCATTATAACTTCTTTAGTGACGAAAAAATGCTATTACCTACAAAAAAAATATAATTCTATGACAATCAAGTTTGTCATGAATACTATTCATTTGGGGGCGAAAAATAGTTTCGCAGTCAATTCATCTCTAATTTGTGACAAAACACTAATTCGTCTCAATATACATTTAGTGACCCATGCTTTAGGGACGAATGCTTGACGAATTTTTTTTTGTCACAAAATTCCTTTTGTGACGAAATATGAACTTAAAGTGACAAAAAATTTCATCTCAAATAATCAAATTTGTTGTAGTGATTGAATCCATATTAGTTATCACATATTTATTGTTGTGTGTTGTCAAATATAGCACAGCCCACAAGAAAATTTCCCAAAGAGTATATGAAAAAGCCTCTATAAAGGGACAAAAAAGAAGATCAATTTTTAATCAACCTTGCTGGAATATTTAGTAGAGTTAAAAAAACCCACCAAAATAGAGAAAAGAATTTGCAATATTTTGATAAATCACTGTGAATTATAGTAAAAGATTATGCTTCATGAAATAGGAGGAAGAAAACTTTGAAGAAAGAAACACACTTCATAAGAAGCTTAATTAATGTAGTTGCATTTGACTTTCCTATAGCGAAAAAAAACATTCAAATAATAGTGGCAGAAATAGAAGTTTTGTTTACTAAAGAACCAAAATGTTATGAATTCAACCATTCCAGCAACGTTATGGGTTGTGAATTGAGAGGCGCTGTAACACCCTTGAAAATTTTTGAGCGTAGATTTGAACCATCCTTCGTTGCAAGTAGGATTTTACCGAGGAATTTAAAATTTCTTAAGTGTTAAGGTAACTAGAAGTAGCACCTTGAGTTCCAAGAAGAACTAAAGAGAGTTCATTCAAGTCATTCCTAAGTTCTTCTAAGATTTGGGTCAACTTCAAACGTACATGATGAGTTAGGTGTTCCATGAGATGGAAAATGAAAGGTTTTGAATTATCTTTCCAACTCCACAGAGTTTGCTAAATTTTGAGCTCTTATGAGGGAGATATGCCTGTTTGAAGTCGGGCTGTCCAAATACGTAAAGTTACCCGAAAATAGTGAGAGGAATTTTGGTCTTTTCCTTAACAAATAAGATTTAATACATTTTTAGTAGGGTTTTAAGGGTCTAATTCTATTAGGTTCAGTTTTATAATACTAATATATTCCTAGGGTTTTAGTTGAGAGTTCAAGAAGAGAAAAAAAGAGAAAAGAGGAAAGGATCAAGGCGTTAGTCGAGGTTCTTGAGTTTTGTTGCGGATTTTCGCCATGGGTTTGATCCCTAAGAGGTATGTAAGCTTCCATAGTGTTGGGTTTGTTCACCCACACACCAATCTTGTTAATTCCAGCGTTAAATTCGTTCTAGAAAGATGAAGGATTGATGTTCTTGAATTGTGTTGTTGAAATTCTCTTTCATTCTTGAGTTAAGATGAGATTGATAACTTCTTGAGGAAATCGTGTCGATTTTAGAGTTGTGTTTGATTAGATTCTTGTGTACATGTATTGGGTATCTGAATCTACAGAGAAGTTGAGAAAAAAGAATTGAATTTAGGTGAATTGGGGGTTAGAAAATGAGGAAAAAAAAGTCGGACAGAAAACCTGTACCAGGTCCGCGTTAAAAGTGAACTTTCTCTCTCCGCATCACGGAGAGATCGCGAACCCCACTGTTTCAAAATTATTTCGCGACCAAATATTAAAATGCATCTTCACGTTGCGGACTTGCTTCTAGACAGTGATTTCTTTATTGTTTCTCATGTTTAACTATCTAAAAGCACTCTTAATCATCATGATATCTTTCTTACCGCAAATAATAACCTTGAATTCATAATTCACATTCAAGAGAGAGTTCAAGAGAGCATTCAAGTTCAATTGTGAATCCTTTGAGATCAACTATCAATTTTGAGGAAGTAAGTATGAGAATGAGAAGAGTCATAGACATGAGTTCCGTATGATTATTCATACCCTTGAGTTGAGTTGTTCAAGCCCATAATTCCACATGAACTCTATAAATTGAGTATCTTTGAGAGGAGTAGTATCTTCAAGTTCTAAGTCTTGAGTTCCTAATCCTTTTTGAGATTATATTCCTAATCATGGGACTATTTCACGTTACCCATGAATCCTTTGAGTTGAGTAATTCATTCCCATAATTCTGCATGAACCCTATAAGTCGAGCAGTGTTGATACGAGAAGTATCTTCGAGTCCTTGAGTTGAGTAGTTGATGCCCATAATTCCGCATGAACCCTATAAGTCGAGCAGTCATGAGATGAGAAGTATCTTTGAGTCCTTGAGTTGAGTAGTTCATGCCCATAATTCCGCATGAACCCTCTGAGTCCATCATTCTTGAAACAAGTATTACCATTGAAGTTCTTCATTTATGAGTTGTTGAGTCTTGAGTATTGAATTTTAGTTATGGTTATTGAAAACCTTGAATTGAGTCGTTCACGTCCATAATTCGGCATGAACCTTATTTATAGAAGTCTTTTACAATTTTTTCTAAACTTGTTTTAAAGACTTCAGCATTGAGTTGAGTAAGAGTATGAGTGAAGATCATTTCTTCAAAATATTATATGGGAACTAAGTATTACCAAGAGTTAAAGTGTTTTCACATTTAAACAAGAGAGGAAAAACCAATTTCCAAGAGAGGAAACATTGATTTCCAAGAGAGGAAACACCGATTTCCAAGAGAGTTTTTAAGCTAGTTTTTGAGTAATAATCTCAAACCACAGAAAGAGTTATTTTTTTAAACATACGAGCTAGTATATTTTGGGAGTACTATTGAGCATCGATATGGGGGAGAGTTCAAACATCTCACAGCCCCCATAAACCATGTAACCAACATAGATAGAAAAATGTCATACTTTTTAGATGATTCCTTAGTTCTGTTTAGCATAGACTAGTGGATCCACTTAGTGAGTTAGGTTCTATACCCCCGACAAGGTATAGGACGTCCCTGTCAGTGTGAGGCAAACCGTTGTACCATCACTTAAGCTCATACAGATGGTTGTCAGTTAGAGAAATTCCCATAGAGATATTTTGTATTTTTATATACACAAAGTTTATATTGTATTTTGATATAAAAAAGAGTTTATATTGTATCCTTGCATACAAACTGAGTTACTTTTGAATTTTTCAATACATTGAGTTGCTTTCTGTTCTTTAAAAAGCTTTCTATATATTGCATCTGTATTGTTGCTTTATATTGAGTTGAGTATCTAGAGTTAAGTATCAAGAGTTGAGTACCCAGAGTCGAGTATCTTATAATTGAGTTGAGCCTTATTTCAGTGAGTTGAATATCCTATTCTTGAGTTGAACTTTATTTCACTGAGTTGAATATCCTATTATTGAGTTGAGCCTTATTCAACTGAGTTGAATATCTTATCATTGAGTTGAGCCCTTATTTTCTCTGAGTTGAGTTAAACTGTGTTCCTTTGAGTTGAGTTGAGTTGAGTTGACAGAGTTGAGAAGAGGTAAGTGTGTTTCTATCCCACCAGTTCAAGCTTATGTAATGCTTTAGAAGTCCTCTTACATGCTTGTACATTCCATGTACTGAGCCATTTGGCCTGCATCGTTTGATGCAGATACAGGTACTCAGGATCATCAACAGGTGTTTCGTTGATACTGCATGCAATTCGAGTTAGCTATGGTGAGCCTCCTTGCTTCCGAAGGGTTCCACTTGTACTTTCAGTTATATCAGTTGTTAGGATGTCGTGGGTCTTGTCCCGACTTCCATCTTGGTCAGTTAGAGGATTCATAGATAGACAATACAGTTTGAGAAGTCTGTTCATTTATTTTGTTAAATATTTTAAAGACTTAATTTGCCTATTTTATGGCGAGTTGAATATATTATTTTTATTCAGAGTTATTCATTTGAGTTAAAGATTTGTAGTTGAGTTCAATGAATTTTATTCAGTTTTTATGCTTTGTACGCTTGAGTTAGTCTTTCGCTTGTAGTCAGCCAGGATGAGGGCTCGCTTGGGGACCAAAAATGGTTCTCGAGTGTCGGCCACGTCCAGGGTGTAGGCTTGGGTCGTGACAAGCGCAAGAGTAGTAATGTCTCATTGCAATTGAAATCAATTTTATTTATTTAATCTTTCTTCTTTTGATGCCTTTAATTAAGTGTTGTATTTTAAAGGGTGTGAATAAAAAATTAAGAGTTGTGAATTTTGTGAAAAAATGTGACTTTTTTGAAAAGTTGTGACTTTTACGAAGAGTTCTAACTTTTTTAAAGAGTTGTGACTCCTATGAAAAGTTGTGACTTTTGTATAAGGTTGTGTGTTTTTAGAATGTATAAATAAGAATTATGATCTGTAAGGTGCCACATAGGCGGGTCTAAGATTCCCTTTTATATAT